CTCCGCCCCTCCTGGTCACGAATTTGGGCTAAGCTTGTGCCTTTTTAAGTACCGCGCCGTTGCGATAATTGATTTTTTCTCTAACAGCCCGCAAACTGCATGCCCAAATGATATTTACATTTAAAATACATAGACTCCAAGAAAACAAAAACTCATTAGGTGGCGTTCGCTTGATTTGTTGAGTCGGGGAGAGCCTCACTGGCCACCGGTGGCCTCGCGCGAACGGAGCAGAGAGTTCTTCCGCGTAGTCAAGAGCGATTGGTCACCATTTGAGTCACCGATCATTGTTGACAGTCTTTGCTGGCGACGTCATAACGCTCCGTGAACGAGCGCAGCTGCATGCGCGCGACGGGCCGCGGAGGTTCGTTGATGTGGAAGTGCATCAAGTCAGGTAACACGTAATGTCGTTCTTGAAATGTTAGATTATAGCGCTTGCATGTACTGGCAGTGTAACCGTTTCACGGCCGGAATTTCTGGATGCTGGGGGAATGCGCCGGCCAACATTACCAGTTTTTATCTCACTGCTCTCTCCCTCAACACCAAAAAGCAACCTCCACACCTATTTCGATGTTCTCTAATTAAAAAGAGCCAGAACAGTCTAGTACAATAAACAATTACTATTTTATTTTAAAACGCCGTTAATTGGACTTATTCAGTTCCATTTTCACGCAGTTTTTTTACATTTTCTTTTATCTATTCTTCTGCTCTTCTGTTTTATTATAACTAATACTCTTTATTTTTCCAAATAGATATAGTATTGATATTCATTCACTAAATCCAACAAAGTTTGAGCAAGTCCGTTATTTTAAAGTTATTTTCAATAACATGTGAATGTTCTCTAAATTGACTAGACTGATTGTGTAGTGACTTCGGGCGAGTTAACTGGTTAAGTCATTAGTCCCATAAACGTAGTGCATGCTTTTATAGCAGGAGATGGCTGTGTTCTTTCCACTCTGGATGATGAGTCCAGTGCCGACCTCGCCATCGGCTTGCGGGATTTTCCGTAACAGGTATCTCCCATTCGCGAGGCATCTCGCCCAACCGGCACAAGCTAAGCTTTCGATTGGTCTACTGGAATGGAGTAGTGTAGTGTATGGAAATAATTGCGTGTAATTCAGGGGTGAGGATAGCACAAAGAAGAAGAAGGAAAGATCGCGCGCGGTCCGTGCCCTGTTTCCTGTTAGGGTACTGCTGCGGCAATTGCTTGGTGTTGTTCGGAGAAATCACGGCAAACTACCGATCAGGGCAGCCGGCCAATGCAATTTTCTTACACTGCGGCTGAGTATGTAGCTAGTGTCAAACATTCTGCCACAGTTGGTAGTAGAATCCTAGATCCTCCCGATCAGAGGCATTGCACATCAGTTGATGCCCTGAGCTACCTAAGCCGGTCTACATTGACAAACAAAGAGGCTTAGCCCAGAGTAGAGTGCTAAAACTATAAAGCTTCAGTTAATAATTTCAGTAGCAAACGAGTTTTACGGCGTGTATATCGCCTTCAATATACATCCATCAAAGCATAGTATCTTGAAACGTAGATGTTCTTGAAACAATTATGGTGTACTCGTGCGCATTAATTAAGCAACTCAGCCCGCATATTCATTCGTTAGCAATCAAGAAACGCTTAAAAAGGAGAATAGAGTAAGGTAGTGAAGTAATCATGAAGTTAAGTCCATGGAAAAGAAGCAAAGATTCCAATCAGTAAGCAGTCAGTACGAGAAAGATGCTGTTCTGTTCAAACGTCGACCTCTAAAGACCTTTCGGCAACATTCACGATCATCCATTACACATGTATCGTTCAACCGTTAGAAATTTGTGATGTAATGAATATGTAGGTCGTTTATTTGCTCACGTTATTTCATTGTTTCACTTTCTCGGAAACTGCTTAAAAAATATAGAGAATGTATTGTAATGCTGCAGGAAGAATGGCGATTTGTACACAGAAAAACATTTATTGTCGGGCCCTTGTAACGAAAAGGTGGATAAATTTTGTTTTTATCTGTAGGAAATTACTTTTTCTAACATGTTGTATAGACAAAATTCACGTTTTGTTGGTCGTTGATACCGAAACGAGGGATACGTACTTTCGTACCACGTACTTTCTCGCATTTAGCAAAGGTTACAAACTGAAATTATTCAGCTCCATTTTTCACGCACATTTTTCGGGACCTTTTGTGTCTATATTTCTGCTCTTTCGTTTCATGGGTTCAGACCAGGCTACTCATACAAAAGCCAACTTTTAACATTTTGCGAAGACATTTACGAGATTTTAGACGCAGGAGAAAATGGACGAGGTAGTCATAGATTTTACAAAAACATTCGCCCTAGTGACTTGCGAGAAATTACTTAATAAACTTCGAAATACAGGAATTGAAAGATGAGTAATCACTTGGATTGAATATTTCCTTCGCGGTCGCCATCAAAGAGCTAAGATTGATGATTGTCTTTCTGATGAAATTCAACTGACGTCAGATGTTGCTCAAGAAAGTTTGCTGTGTCATCTATTTCTAGCGTACGTTAATGATATTTCCGATTCTATTAATTCAACGATTAGGCTCTTCGCAGATGACTGCATAATATACCGACGAATACAAAAGGCCCAAAATCAGCAGTATAGCAAGAGGATCTCAAAAAAATATGAAATCGGCGAAAAAATGAAATTAAAATTAATTCTAAGAAAAGGAAAGCTGTAACATTCAGAAGGAAACGTGAGAGAATGTCACTAAAATACGCACATGCAGATCCATCTATGCCTGAGGTCAGTAGTTTCAAGTATTGGAGGGTTGCTATTCGAAGCGATGCGGACTGGTCACGTTGTGTGCAAATCTTGGAAATCACTCCGTTTTGAGATTGAAGAAAGGGAACGCGAACGCAAGGCGCTTGGCGTATTCTTCACTTGTACGAAGCTCCCCGTGTTGTGAACCGTATAGGGCCGGGCACATTAGGCTTGTTAGACAGTATCCAAGAGCGACAAAATTGGTAGGAAAAAACAACGATAAATCTCAGATATGTGAACTCTTAGACAAACGCCGAAAGAGAGCAAGGCTAGTAAATCGTTTCAAAGCGAACACTGGATTTAAGCGTTAAGCGACATTCAAACTAGGTTAGGGCAACCTCAATACTTCGGAAGAGGGAACAAGCCACACGAAATTAAATACAGGAATAAACTAGTGGTGTTACAGAATATCACAGACTTTCCCTATTAGTTTTCAATTTCCTTTTGTCTCGGCTGGCTATTCGTACTTGCTACATACTCTTGTCAGCTGCCATCTATCTCCGCTCAAAGAACACTTTTTAAATTTTTTTCGGTATTCAATAATAGAACGGAAACATTCTTTTAAGAATATTAAAGAACAGTTAAATTTCGTCCTAATTTGCTGTTTTGTTTCAAAAATTTGGAGCCGAATTTAAGAAAGTGGATTTAAATACTACCGTGAATTCGAAATTTAAAACTCTTTTCACAGAAAACTATTACGTTTTCGAAAAACTTCATATGAAGTCATTTCAAGAACTTTGGGTCACAAATGGAATAGTGTGAACAAATGTGCATATTAACAGCGTGCGAGATATTTAAAAAAATTACATTTGTGTAGTTTTTGAAAAATAAACAAATACAGCAAAATCAATTCTATATCATCTTATACAGCCTAATTAGCACTATCTGGTGGAAAAGTTTGAAGAAAAAAATTGAAGCAGTTTTTGAGAAAATGGAGTTTGAGCGTTTCTGAAAAGGCAAGATTTTGAACTCTATTACAAGGAAAACGGAAAGATATTGATTGATAGGATAAGATTGATAGGAAGTAACACAATAATACGCTTGTGCCTAGAACGATTATGAAAGCAATACTCAACTGCAATGAACGTGCAGTCGGGAATTCCGGAGCCAGCAATATTTGCGGTATGAAGGTAATCCACTCAGAAAACATGAGTGGTTTGCATTTTGCCTGCACATTGCGCTCCTCAATTTTCTCGGCGTCATGATCCACATCCAGAAAAGTCTCCAGCCGTAAAACACACTCACGAGAAAACCCACACTTACGCTTCATACATTACTGTTCTCGCTTTTGCCTCAAAGTTTACGCTACGCTGAACAAAATCTCTCTAGAGGTTGCTTCAGAAATTACATTCAAAATTTCTGGCGATCAACTATTTTCCAAAGAAATTTTATTGGAACCTATTTCTCCCCAACCATCAAAATACTTCATTTACTTAATAATTTTCAGTTAAGTATTCGTAATATGTTCCTGAAATAAAAAGAACAATTTTCTTAAAATATTTTGACACTTGGGTGATGCTGGACGGAACATTGAGAATACGCAACGTTGGGAGTTTTTCGGAAGGAAAGTGTACAACTTTTTAAAGAATTGTTTGTATTTTTTCAAATAATGTTCACTAATATTACTGGTATGCAATCAGAATACAAATCTATGCATGAAAGTATAAAAATAATACGTACTCTAATTGTATTTGTTACTTTGGAAACTTGCCCGGCTCTTACTAGGTTTCATTGTCTGCCCGCAATTATATCGCCACTAATTATGTAATCCACATGGATCTATTGCACGGCTCTCAACTTATTCTTGATGTAGTTCCTTAAATTTGCATTTGAGCTCCATATAGCAAATATGAATGTTAGTTTACGAAATCTATATTTTCATTAGTGGCTTCCCTTTCTTCACCGAAGGGAGTGTACTACTTAAAACTGGAAATCAACCAGACTAAAAGTATTTCATGTTTCTGATATATTGTAAATGTAAATATTCAACGCTTATCGGACCCTACAAGAAACCATAATTTCATTATGCTACTTCATCATGTAATCGTACAGGTTTGTTTAAGTGCTTACACAGGTGATATTTGCCCCTGGAAGCTAGGCAACACCATGTGCACATGCGCATTACGGGTTGCATATCAGCCAGGCGCTGCGTCTGTGTCTGTGGGTGAAGCGCGGAGCATCTGCGCCACCTGGTGCATGACGGGTGGCTTGCGTCTGCGCAGGTGGCGCGTGCTGCGCGCGCAGCCGGAGGGCGCGGAGCAGCTGCGCCACCTGGAGTCGCTGGTGCGCGCGCTGGGCGCGGAAGGCGCGTCGCAGCTGTGGCGCTGGCGGCCGGCGACGGACGTGCTGGTGCGCGGGGACGTGGCGGACGCGGTGATGCGCTTCCTGGGCGCACGTGGCATCGCGGCCAACGTGCACGTGGCGGACGTCGGCGCGTGAGTCACGCGGGCCCCGCTCCCACTGGGCTCCTATTGCGCATGCGCAACCTCCCCCCTCGCGCGTCTGCCTCCAACGTCGAACGGCGTGGAGTGCACAGGTAAGGCTAGAAGGGTTTCGTCGTCAGAGGGTGGACTGAAGAGCATGTAGAATCTGTACGTGCAGTCAAGAGAAGCACACTTCTTCAGAAGTCGAAGGCGCAAACAGAATGTATATTTCGAATTTGCATACAAAACATTATAATGAAATGCATTTCAACCAATAAAAATAAATTATATTGAAACCTACGAATAGACGAATAGTATATTTCTCAGCGAGCGTAGAATGATAGCTATTATTCACGAGATGTTTACGTCACCAGCGACGTAGGAAGGGGTGTCGGAATTTCTACGAGTGAATATTGTCCATTCTACGCGAGTAGAAGACTATACTTTCTTTACGGCTTTAAAATTCATATTTTAAAAATACTAAATGGATGCCTCAAACTCCCTTTTGTAGGTTACCATTCACATACTGTTTCGTGGTTCACCGTCCTCCGACGGTTGTGACCTGCCACGCAGCCTCTTAGGCGACTGCGAGTCCCCTCTGCCGTGCGTAATGAACTAAGACGAAAGGGATTGGTCGACAGCCACAATCTGTGTGAGAATAATATTCTTGTGGAATCGGCATCATTACTGCATCCGTTTACGAGCATAAATGCACACATTCTGAAGTAGTTGTACAGAAAATTCTTTATAAGTAACCATCAAGGACACTTAGCGCCATTTGTCAAATATGGTCAAAAATCTTAAAATAAATATACTTACGAGTCTGTATTATGAACAAAATACTTCAAGTAATAAAACTATTTACATTACTTCACTAGAATCCGACCCCTACGATGAGTTGAAGAGAGGCGTACAAGATTATCTTCATTAGAGGGTGGGACATGTCCACATAAAATAATCAAAATATGCATTCATCAAATTCATTAAATTTTTATTACGTAGTTACATAATTTTAGGCCTCACTAACCCCTGCAAAATTTTATCATACAGAGTTATGAAATATTTCTTTCTGAAAAAACGTCCAGAGATATGATCCTTATAAGACTGCGCATAAAACGAGTTGAAACGGGAATATTTTTAAGTTATGTCGTACGAAGTATCTTATTATTTCGGTTACAAACGTCATTAACGAAATATCTGATTTTGGTTGTATATTTAGACGTTCTGTATCAAACGCGGACTTGCGATCGCCTCCGACATTAGACGTCTGAACTTAAGTGCGACAGCTCACAGGCAGAATTGCAATGCACTCGCTGTTTTAAATCCCTCCAAATCTACGACGAGACGAATCTTGGAAATGCGTGCCAAGGTTTGGTGACTTACAGGATGTGAAGATACGAGAAATTTACAAAAATATTCCTAAGAAAATCTATGCCATCGAGACTAAAACAGCAAAGAAATTTCATTGCTTAAACTGCAAGGAAGTCACTCTTGTGTTATCTCCAGCTCAAACGACGCCTCGTGTACTAGAATGGGCGTGTGCGCAGTGTGACGGCGCGCGTCTGCGCATTCGCAGGGAGATCCGGCGGGAGCGCAGCGCGGACGCGCAGCGGAGGGGCCCCAGGCCGCATGACGTGCTGCGCAGCTACCTGCGCTACGACGAGGTGAGCCCTCCTCTCGCCCTTGGAGTAATGCCCTCTTTACGAAGCATCCCACCACCGTGTTGTAGAGACGGAACGGCCTACACATTCAGTCGTGGCTGGTTGTGTGAGTTAACTCAGCATTGTATTACGACTTAGATTATCAATTTATATTAAATTATGCAAAAATATCGACATATAAAGATTAATTAGAAAAAATATACAATTGATTATCTGATGATTGGAACAAGACAGGTTCCCGAGACGTGATATTAAAGAAAATATGTTACGTTTTCCGATTTCTTATTTACAATACTTATTACAATACTGTGTATAAATATGTTTAGGATGATCCTTACATAGTTACGCACGAACTATTTCATCCTGAAATTAAAGGAATAAAAAATAAATTAACAGATATAAGTATTAGGCCATTGGTCACTGTGCTCGCTTTTCACTACGCGAGCCCGGGTTCTATTCCCGATCGAGTTAAGACTATAGAGTATGCTTTCCTTGCAGTGTCCCAATATATGCTGGTGTGTGACGATGAAGAAATTCACTCCTCAGGTTGAGAAGACCGGAATTCGGCGTGGGGATGTCTACGTGCTAACCACACGTACCCCCTTAAACCCTTGGCAGCGAGGCAGGGTCGTCGCCGGTAGGCCTGAGCCCGTTCACGCGCTGTCCCGCCAAGTACATACATACACTATGCACAGATATAATTCCTGAATCAAGCCGAGGCAGGCGAAAAATAAATGGAGTTGTTTTTAAATAAATTATTATTTGGAGAAAGAGAGGAATTTGAATGGGTCACAATGTTTTGGATATTGCAAAAATATTAGGTGCGTGTTATGTTTACCATCGCTATATACACAATATTTAATATTATGTTTTATACAGGTCAACGCATCACAATCCGTCGTCTGGCAACCAATACATGCGGAGAGATTACGACTTATCCATTTCCAACGGGTGTAGCTTTTGCGTGTGTACTTTTCTAACAATAATGGAATGAACTGCATATCTTTGAAATCAATCGTAGGGACAATCAGCTACCTCACGCGATGCTGCTTCAAATACGATGATCATCATTGCATTATGGACCATGTCGAGCATTAACGATTCTATTCTTTCATGAACCAACACTTCAATTACCAAAACTCTGATAAAAATAGGTGTTTTCTTGGTTAGCTTGGTCATTTCTGCTATTAAGATAATGGTTAACTACTATCACGTCCCCATAATCAGAACTGCGTTTTGTCTTCATTTCTTGATTTATCTTTGATTCTTTTCTTGTGCAGATATTTCAAATGTCTTACTATTACGTATCAAGCCTTAAAATAGCTGTGAATATGTAAAGAGCATTCAAATATTTCGCTAAGCGCGGTTTTGTTGTAGAGTGAAGAAATCGCCCACACAACCGTCACCATCCTACATACTGTGGACGCGCGATATTTGGAGGGTTAAACCAAACGAGTAATAAAGAAGTGAATTAACACGCGTTCTTGGTAATGGCTGTTTGCAGATGAACGAGTTCATGGATGACCTGCAACGACGCTTCCCGCATCTTGCCACGGTGGCCACGTTCGGGCGGAGCTACGAAGGTCGGGACATGAAGGTAAGCTTCTATCGATGCTTGGGGTCAGTACTCAGCCCATTACCAAAAGCAGTCATTTCCGTATATACGAATTAGTATAAGTGCTATTTATATAACTAGGCTGACATTTTTCTCGTTGTTCGGTTTTACGTATGGTTTGAAGTTTGCACGAGTGCAGCTAATAGTATTTCAAACTCGAGTCGTGGTGTAATTATCGACTGGTTATAACGTTTCAATAACGTTTCAATAATCTTTAAGATCGGAGCTTGATCGTCGAAGAGCAGAAACATCAATGTACAACAGCCGCATTTAGTATGGCAGAAAATCAATTCAATTTTTATATTTTGTAATGTGCCGTAGGCGCAATCCCATTGGGCCACCAATTTTATGTAATGAAGGGAATGTTTTGAAATAAATGCGTTTATAAAGATTTTGTAATTCTAAACCGAATTATCAGCTAATTTTGGCCGTCGTAACTTTAAAGTCTATCATTTTTCGGCAATTACCTTGCCGATGACAGACCCTTCGGTAATAGCCCTGCAGAAGGCCGCGTCGCACGCAGCCCCTCGGGGCGGGTTCCCGCAGCAGCTGATGAAGAGCCAGTTCACCCTCGAAGTCCAGATCAGCCAGCAGATGGCAAAGGGCAGATAATGTGTTGTTAGCCTTACCGAAATCCAGTGCCTCTTATGCGCTTCCGTCACACAACACTGGAGCGAGTGTGCCGCAAGTGGCGCTCAGAGCGAGGCGTGCACGCTCGTAATTGCGATAGTTCGCGCATTACCGCCGAAACCTACAATCTCTCTGTTTGAAGCCTAAATCTGCTCTGTCCTGATTTCTCAACCTTTCTCTCTGAAGTCTGAATTTCGTCTCCGTGCCATACCGATCCGCGCTCTACCATCGCCCTCCCCATTACCTCCACTTGTCCAGGGCCGCCACGTGGGTTCGCATGCGTTATTTAAGCTTGTTTTGGGGAACATTCTGTAAAACTCGAATGATTATAAACAGCTGTGCCCCCCTCTCCCTGACCTCGATAGGAGAACGCCTCATTGAATGTTGACGGCACCTTTTTCTATTTACGCAAAGTAGAGCAAGGGGTTAGTCGGGATTGCGCATGACGAATTGCTTTGAGGTATTGAAGGGGAAGGGGAAGACTGGCTACTCTCAGGAATTCGGTGCCTGTGTTTTGTCGTTCTTCGTTTCGCGAGCATGACAGTGTCCTGCATGCTGCTAAGTGGGCGCATGCGGGCAGTTTTACGTCTGGGGCCAAACGGGTTACGGCGAATCTAGGTTGGCGAGGGGAGGGTAGTTGTCGTAGAAGGCGCTCTGCGCATTTAGTTCGAGGCGAGGGGCGCGGGCGCATCGGCGCGGTGCGCTGTGTCTACGAGGAGTGATCCACTGCAATTTCAAAATAAACTAGCTATATTCACAAAGTTAAAATGCCTAGATGAATTTGAAAACGAATTAATTGTTCTTGTCTTTGATGAATTAAGGCTTTTCCGATGGAATAAAGCAGCGTTTGCCAACTGGCGGAGAGATGACGTCGCAGCTCCATTCCTCCCCGCGCGAGCAGGCGACAAGAGGAGCAGCGCTGGCAAAGGGGGAGGGAGAGAGGGGCAGACGCTGACGCCGGTGACGAAAGCCTTGGCAGGGGCAGTGGGCCTTCGCCGGTGTTTCAGCCAACATGAGAGCCCATCTACGCCCGTTAATGTTCTTTCGATTTGGGAAGAAAGGTTTCTTTTTGTAGGTACCGTAACAATGGCGAAGTGTTTAGTGTGTTCGAAAGAACAGCACTATGTTAAAAAGTTGAACCGACAGAGGCATTACGCAGATTTGGCAACCCAGAGACACCCGCGAGAGGAAAATAATTTCTGAGAATTTGCAGATAGCCTGCGTTCATGTGATGAGAAAAGGATTTTGCAGATAGAAGGTTATGGAAAATGTACTGAAAATCACGAGGATTTACAACATTCTCAAAAAAAAAAACTGTACACGAGCTAAAATTCAACTGTAAATGAGTACACACACAACCCTGGAGTCCAAATTCTCCCACGTGACCCCTCCCTGGTGTCACTTTGTTTGTGTAAATTTGTTAACATTTATTACACAGGCACACAAAATTTAAAAAAAGAGTCAGACCCAAAAGAGCAGAAGTGACGTCACAGAACCGTGAGTTGACAAGCACTGGAATAAACCATTATAACTGTTTAGCAGGCACTTGGCTGATAATATTCTGCACAGAAATTACATTTTTTGTGTGGGTTTTTCCAGACCTGTATAACATCATTGACAATGAAATGTCAATGTCACAAGCAAGGTAACTAGCTTGGTATAGTTCGCGAGCGTCCTGCGTCCTAACGCTACATTCAAAAGTAAGAGTCGTATAAATTGGTCTGGAGTGGCGGGACATCACAGGAGATCTGATCCATCGCAGTCTTTTGGAGTCGTCAGTTGACTGTTATACCCCAAATGTTAGACAATTTTGAGTTATTTTGAGTTATTTAAGCAAATTTTATCATTAAATCTCCTTTTCTCTAGCCTTCTCTATCTCTCACTTAAAGCAAAGAAAATTCACAAAATATTTATATTATTTTAATATTTTTCTTATCTTGAAGTTACAAACATGTAAACGAATGATGGGCGATGTAATCATGGAAATTGGAAATTTCTAGAAACAAAATGATATAACACTGCGAACTTTTTCTAGCGGTTGGCTTCGAACACAAACTAGTGATACAAACTCCTTGTGATATAGGTTATTTGTATACAGCCCTCGTCCTTCGCTTTGGTCGCAGGTGTGGTAACTTCCTTTACAGTCGCTTACCAATGAGGCGTAAGCCAACGATAATCCTTCTTTAACAATATCATAGTTTCGGTAAGGAGTTTCTGTTTCATCGCTTTTAACTTTCATAATTCGAACTTTTCTGAACCCTTAGTGATAGTTTGGTCTGCCAATGCTTATCGGATGTTTACAAAGAAATTAGAAACCTTCGCCATGCGTAATCGCTTTGTAAAAACTCCACCGTTGTCTTACAGTTAGACCTACCAATAATAACTTTGAAATTTTATTTTAGTACATGTCAATGTACTAAAATGTTAATGAAGAGATCAGTTGCGTAATCCTCGCAACATTGTGGATGTTGAACTAGTTCTTAACACACCATCTGTGTCCGTGTGGAAATGACAGCAAGTACAGAAAATGTTCGAAATACGTATGCCCTTGCCACTCATGAAAAACTGAAGAAAAAAATCATAAAATTGGGGAAAATAATTTAAATAAACGGCTAAATAGTGCATCACAGGGTGTTGAACATACAAAATGTTCCTTCAATGATGATGCAATTAATTCTGGCCTTTACCCTTGACCCTTCCTCCCCACCATTGGAGTCTGGGCCGGCAACACCAACACGGACACACCAACACCAAATACACACGGAATTTGGCGCGAGAGAAATATTCCTTTCACGTCAATTTCTAGAAATGAACTACGTTTCTCGGTATTGCGTCGGCTCAAAACGTATATGCGATCAACTATGTTGCAAGATCGGCTGAACAGTATTGCGATTTTACATGTCTATAGCAATGTGACCGACGAAATCGTTTTGCAAAAATTGTTAAATGCGTTTACATAAAAAATGAAAAGTGCAGCGGTTTTTTGCTTTGCAAAACTGAAGTGCCGAAGTTACATAAAATAAATGTAACAACAACCTATCAGAATGATAAACGTTTAGCGCTTTATGTTGCTTGTCGGTGGGCGTTGGCGCGGGCGCTGCAACGCCCCGAGTGCGCGCGCGGGCGTGCGCAGGTGATGCAGATCTCGTCGGGGGGCGGCGGCCAGCGGCCGGTCATCCTCATCGACGCCGGCATCCACGCGCGCGAGTGGATCGCGCCCGCCATGGCCCTCTACATCATCCAGCAGCTGGTGGAGAACCCGTCCAACGCAGACCTCATCGCCAACGTCGACTGGCACGTCATCCCGCTGCTCAACCCCGACGGCTACGAGTACTCCCACACCACGGTAGGGTGGCGCAGGGACCTCGTCCGGCCGAGCGAGTCGTGCAGGTCCTTACAGGGAACAACACAGGGCTTTTGGAAACACGTGTGTAAGGGCACATTCAATTCCTCTCGGCATCGCGAATTTGCTGGCAGTATTTGCAGCCTAATACTTCTGGAATTCTCTGAAAGAATTATAGAAAATCTTTGGGAAATTCCATACCACCTTCAATGATACGTTGCTGTGAATTACTATACTGCCTTCTCGACTTGGTATGAAATGTCATGACTTGATTTATCAGTTATGATATTTTTTAAACTTAAAACACCAAATGTTTTTGTTCAGGAATAAATTTTAGGGGTTCTACTCCACCACATTTGCTTTAAATGAAAGTCAGGGGGACTCATATGTACATACATTATCTCTTGATATAATTAGCTTTTTTGCAGTACGTATAACCCTGGCAGGAGCGCCCTCTGGAGATGCTTAGGGTATCCCCCACCAAAGACAAGTTCAACTCAAAATTTAGAAACATTGTATATGGCCTTATTACAAAATTAATCTGTAAGGAACTGATTTGCTTTTATAACTACGGGAAAAACCTCTATATTCATAATTTTGGTTGTAGCAAGAAACCGTACCTTTTTTGAAATTTTAGCAATTTTCGAAAAAAGTTTTCAATGAAAGCAAAACCTGCACCATTCTCTTAAACGCCCTTCCCACTGTCCGACAACAAAATTTAATCAAAAACAAAGGAACCAGTTCTTTTTAATTTTGAAAATGTCTCAAGGCTTCACGTAAAGTATCTCTCAAAATTAAAATATCGATATCAAATTACAGATTATCTGCTATAAGTTATTTAGGGTAAATGAAAAAGATGGATGAATTGTTGTGTATTGAAGTTTATATACTGGAATGGGACAACTTTAGCAAAAAGAGGCTCCCATAGATCTACTATTACTCGCGCAGCTTTTCTTGAATAATATATTGAAGAAACGCGGGTGGAGTGGGGGTATTAGTTGTGAAATCGACCACTAGATTGTATGAAGAATTGCCAATCTCTTGAGAATCAGCCGTGCCTTCGCAACTTTGTCAATAATTTGCGTTCTAGAGTCTTGCTCTCAAGAGTTGGAGATATTTCCTGTGATAGATTTTTAACTGATTCGGTAATTTCTTTAAACTTTTTGGAGAAAATATCGGACAGAATTTCTCGTTTTCTAAAGAAAATTGTTTCTATTTCGCGCTAGTGAAGATTTGTTTGGAATGTTGTCATCAGTGCTCACTGCGAGCTTTTGCCTTCAACTGTTTATCATGCAGAGGGGGGGGGGAGCAAGGTCATCGTTCAAGAAAAGTAGCGTGAGGAATACGACGGGCCCCTTTTGTTCTGGACGCCCCTGGCGAAGTGCGATGAACGAAGGCCTTTAGAGTTTGTAAGAAGGAAAGTTTGTTCGTGTGGCGCAGGACCGCATGTGGAGGAAGACGCGCTCGGTGACGGACGTCCCTGAGTGCTTCGGCGCAGACCCCAACCGCAACTTCGACTTCTACTGGGGCGGTAAGTGGCCGTTCACAGCACTCACCGCAACACCAAGCGCACTCGGTAGGGTGATTAAGGAAGTGGATGTTGATTCCGGAAGAGACAGACACTGCTCTCGGAAGTGTTGTGCAGCTTAAATCTCGGGAAGTGATTTACTCCGCTGGAACGTGAGATCTGTGGGATATTTTTCTAAAGGGTCACCGCTTTAGCGACGACAATCTCTACGCTTCTGATATGCGCGGTAATGTAGTCTAGTATAAGTATGTATGTGCGTATGTGTGTGTGTGTGTGTGTGTGTGTGTGCAAGGGAAGATGAGAGGGCAAGAAAGAGTCAGGAAAGATTGCGCGCGGCATGTAACCCGTTTATTAAAGCACTTCTTCAGAATTCGCCTGGTTCTGATCTGAAAAACCGCTGAAAATTAATGATTAGTTAATGTGGCCGCTGTACCTCTTCTCCAGGTAGTGGTTCTAATTGAACTTAATAAAATTCTATCCTAATCGTATATTATTGTTTTGTCGTCGTTCAAGTACCTCCCGCGCAAAAGTTAAACACGCTATGTAAACAGAAATAAATATGACACTCTTGAGAAACTCTGAAGGCACGTAATTTTGGTGACATGCGCGATGTATGAGTATTCTGCGCAGGCACCTCCCACGCAATTGAGGTAAATGAAAATTTATAAAAACTCAAAATCACCTGATTTTCGAGGGAGTAAATGTTCCCTGTGCAAATTGTGCAGTGGTGGGGGTGAGCTGGGACCCCTGCAAGGAGACGTACGCAGGCCACGAGCCCTTCTCCGAGGCCGAGTCGGAGGCGCTGGCGATGTACGGCCTCAGCCTGCGGGGGCGGCTGCGCCTCTACGTCGCCATTCACAGCTACGGCGGGGTGAGCCTCATCA